CTCTCCTGCGTGCCAGGCTCCGTGCCCGCAGAGCCGTGCGTCTGTGGCCAGCCCCCGGACCTGGGCGAGGAGCTCTCCCTGCTCGACCCCTTTCCTGGCTTGGACAGCCTCTCCTGCGTGCCAGGCTCCGTGCCCGCAGAGCCGTGCGTCTGTGGCCAGCCCCCGGACCTGGGCGAGGAGCTCTCCCTGCTCGATCCCTTTCCCCGCTACATCAAGTCCTGCCAGCACCTCATCATCCCTGACAGGTGCCGCTGTGTTGACTCGGGGGGCGCGGCCGAGCCCCCTCCCCCTGAGGGCCGCACCTCCCCTGAGCCCCCCGCCCCGAGTGCCCCAGAGGCCATGGACCTGGCTCGGGGCCCATCCCCACCCCAGCTGGAGCAGCCCCTGAGCCAGGGCCCCGGGTTGCAGCCTGACAGCAGCGGCGGCCATGGTGGCAGCAGCAGCAGTGCCAAAGACCTGGCTGAGGTGCCCACTGAGGAGCCCGCTGAGAAGGGCAGCACACCGGACGCCACGCCCCCCCAGGGGCAGCCCACGAGCCGGCTGGCCCAGCAAGTGCGCGAAGAGGGCTGGAACCTGCAGACATCCGAGAGCCTCACGTTGGCCGAGGTCTACCTCATGCTGGGCAAGCCCACCAAGCTGCAGCTGGAGTACGACTGGCTTGCCGAACAGAGCCCCAGCCCGCTGGCCGAGCCTGCCGCCCGCCACAAACAGCGCCTCCTGAGCTGCCTGCTAAAGCTCATCGCCACCGAGGTCAGCCCTGAGCTGGGGTGAGGCCGCACCAGGCCCCGCATGACCTCCCACAGCCCCCAGGGGCTTCCTCAGGCTCCCTGCAGAACCCCTCCATCCCCATGAGTCTGGACCCTTTCCAGGGGCTGCCGCTGCCCCAGCAGGGGGCTCAGGCAGTAAAGTACAGCCAGGCGTCAAGCTCTGACCCAGTGTAGGTGTCATGACAGGTTCAGGTACGACCCTGGGGGTGGGGTGGGGTTCTGCCTGATTTCCTTATGCTCCGTGGCTGAGATTTCGTCTCTGAGGGTGGAGGGAACCGTGGTTGAGGTTCACGCTCTGCCTTGGGTTACCCGGGGCAGGATTGGGCTGGGAGTCAGGCTCTGGGGGTAAGGAGGGAAGGAACAGGGCCTGGGATTCAGGCTGTCTGAGCAGAGGAGCTGTGGCTGGGCCTTGGGCTCCAAGCAAGGAGTGCAGCTGTGAGTGGGTGTAGGCAGAAGGGGTGTGGCTGGGATTTGGGCCCTGCCTGGGTGGGGGGAACTGCAGCTAGCCCCTGCTTTGAAGTAAGGACAGGCTCGGGTGACCGCCATCCCGGCTGCCTCCCAGACTGCTGCTTGGTGAGGTCAGAGAAACTGAGAAACCTTCAGGGGCTCTGGTGTGCTGGGTCCCTCCATGGAGACCCCCCAGATTGGAACAGGTTGACAGGCAGGGGGAGGGAGGAGTGAGGTCTGAGGGGACGAGGAGGAGGTACAGACTCTGTGAAGTCACTCCCATCAGCCAGAGCCTAGTGTCCAGTGAGCAGCAAGGCAGAGAGGACAGTGGGTGTGGCCGAGCCACCTGGGGACAGTGAAGTCACCAGGGTGAGGACAGGGGTGGCAGGTAAGGCAGCCCCCAAGTGGGTCATGTGGGTGGTAGCCCTGTAGCCGTTCTGTTCTGGGTCATTCTGTGCTAGCTTATTTGAGTGGCAGCTGGCTTGTTCTGTGCCCCCACGCTCTGTTCCCTCAGCTCACATGTTCCCCGCTCCCCTGGGACCCTCCCACCTTTACTGGGAGACTGCCTGGGGTAGGCTCCGCTAAGCTTGACCACGGTCTGTTAGGTTCCGGACGTGAACGCCATCTCCACAGCCTCTGCGAAGCCAGTCCAGGAGGAGCAGCCGCTGCCCCCTGCCGGGAAGGTGGTTGCCGTCAGCTCGAGGAGCCCCCGCTGTCCCCGTGGCAAGGCCTTCTCTCCACATGCTACACCTTGCTCCTCAGGTGAGCTGCCACCACGTACTTCCCGAGCCTCTAGCAGCCAGCTTCTTCTATGCAAAGCAAAGACTCCTGAAGGAAGGGCCCTCGGCAGGTCACGGAGTCTTGGGTAAAAGGAGGTGGTGGTGGCCACTTACCACCCATGTGTCTCAGCTGATGGCCAGGCAGTAAGTACCCTACTTCCTTAGAGCCAGGTGATGGCCACGTGTACGTCACCTGAGGCCTCAGCCACGGGATCCCAGTGTTTTTTTGAAAAGTAGGTCGTCTCCAAAGGGGATGGAGGGAGACGTCCATTCTGTACACTGTGTGAACAGGGCCCGTGGTGCCAGGCACGTGTCCACACCCCCTCTCCTGCTGAGGGGCCAGGCATGTGGAGGAGTGGGTGCGTGGCTCTGCCCGGCTGACGGCGAGCATGTGGGGCACTAAGCGTGGGGGTGCATCCTGGCTCTGGATCGTCAACCTGGCACAGGGGTTCACCAGCGACTCCACAGCTAGATTTAAGTGCCGGCACCCTGCCAGCCTCTGCAGCCCAGCCTGCGAGCGCCCTGGGAGGAGTGTTCTTCCTGACACTCCTCGCCCTCGGAGCCCGTTGTCGACAAATGTCCTTTGGGTCCGTCCTTCCTTGGCCCCTGTTCACGTGTGTGCACAAGTGGCCTTCTCTGGCCCTGGGATGGGAGCAGCTCATGGTCGACAGGACATACGGCCCCGAGTGCTGAGCATGCTCTGCCTCTCTGTGCTGTGACCGCTCGGTGCCCGTGAGCGGCCACATGGACCCACGTCCTTGAGCAGAGGCGCGGTGTGGGCGTCACGCTCACACCTGCCGCAGCTTGTTCCTTGGTCTCCTTGAGGATGAAGAGGGCTGGTCCCCGAGTCACGATTCAAGGGGTCTTGTTGATGGGTGGCTGGCTGGTTGCATGCCTTTTTCTTCTGTTCCAATCCAGGTGACTTTTTCCCTAATTCTCTGGTCTCTTTCTAAGTTAAAAGTGCTCACAGACTGTCTTACTGAGTGCAGGGCTTCCACTTTTTCCACTCAACCTCTTTTTATCCAAGAAATGTATAACATGAGCAAACGCTCCAGAATTATCTGACTCACTACTCGTCTTGTTTTGAGGACTTGTGCATCCAGAAACCTTTTACCATTGCCAATTTGTTGTGGCCCTCACAACCCCATACGGGGTCTCGACGCAGAGGTTAACAAGTGTTTTGGTGGTTGCTTGGGAAGCACTGGGCTGGCTGTGTGGTACCGCCATAGCAGATGCCTTCACCAAGCACATTGGTTCTCACGCTTCAGCATTTCAGGTGCCTGACTTCAGGCCATTGGGTCTTGGTGAAAGCTAGCTCTCTGTGGGCTCTGGAGGTAGACCCTCGTCTCTTCCAGCGTCTGTGAGCTCCATGGCCCCTCGGAGACACCCGTGTGTCCTGGCATCGGTCATCCCCTGAGTCTATGAGGTGCTCAGCACAGGGACCCTCCTTTGATCTTCTATAAGATACAAAGTTGCAACAACAACAACAAAAAAAACAAAGTTGCAGGCCACACCTCAGGGGAAACTCCCGTACATCCAGTGGGAGCTGCAACCTGAGTGTTGCTGACCCTTTGTCACACCGTGGGGCTCTCAGATCTTTGCATAACTGCCAAGCCACTGAGAATTGTGGCCCAACACATTTTTTGAGGGGAGGGGGAGGGCTGGGGGTACAGGTAGGGACACTGACCAGGCCATGACATGAACCCACTGATTTTCAGTGCCCAGGCTAGTGCCCAGAATACCTGGTCTCAGGGCTCCCTTGGCACCTGTGTCATCTCACAAGAGTGTGAGGAAGGGGGTCCCAAGGGTGCAGTGAGGGGGCCTCTCAATAAGTGCTGTCTGTTTTCTGAACGGTTAAAAACCTAAAGTAGGAGTCCACAAATTACGACCTGTGGTCCAGGCCAATCTGCCTCCTGCTTTCTGGAAATAAGCTTTATTGGCACGCAGCCCCCAGGATTGTTGGACTTGTTGCCCAGAGCTGCTTGTGTGTTGCAGCTGCAGAGCCCGCAAGGCCTGCAAGGAGCTGCACCCTCGCCGGACGGTCTTGAGGGGCCTTGCAGGGATGGATGTCTGATGGTGCTGCTGCCCTTCCACTGAGGTGAAGGGCCCGCACCCGCGAGGCCAGTGGGTGGTGCCATCCTTGTCGGTGTGTTGTTGTGGATACGCACAGTTCTGTGTGTACACGTGTGGAGTTGGCAGCCCTCCTCCTGCTCTTCCCGTGCACACAGACTTGCTGTCCCCAGACCCCTGGCTGTGCATCTACAGTGATCTCCGCAGGCCTACCTTCTTTGCCAGCAAAGCTACACAGTTGTTTGGTTGTCAGAAGACAGGTGTCAGGGTTCTTTTTGGTGTAAGGTATAAAGACAGTTTTTGGTGTAAGATGTGAAGTGTCAGAGGTTTATCCTGCCTCTGTGGCTCCAGAATATCTGGATTCCAAAGAACACATCCTTTCATGGGACTGAGGTACAGGCCCCCTTTTATGACTGAATGGCCTTGAGAATTCCTAGAGCTCCCCCTCCCCACCCCCAATTCTGATGTCTGACTTGCTTCTCAGAGAAGCCTCTCCACTGACTCTGCTCGCCCTGCCTCTCCCCACACTCCAGGTCTGAGGAACCTCCCAAGGCCCCTCCTGGTGGCTGGCCCATCCAGCACAGGGAGCAGTGATGCCGACGGGGCCCTCTTCGCTGTCCCCACGACTCTGCCACCCAACAGCCGGCACGGGAAGCTCTTTTCACCCAGCAAGGAGGCTGAGCTGACCATCCGCCAGCACCTGAACTCGGTCAGCGTGAGTGCCAGCCCACATCCCGCACGCCGGGTTGCCACCCCTGGTGAACCCTCAGGAGCCTTGCTCTTGCCTTTGCAGATGCCGGCGGACTTCTTCCTGCCCAAGTCTCGTAAGCTGCAGAAACGGCACCTTCGGAAACCGTTGGTGGTCCAGGTCAGGAGCCCCCTGGGCTCGGGTTCTGACTGGGGCAGGGCTGGTGGGAAGGGGTGAGAGAGAGCCCACGGGTGATGGTGCAGCAGGGGCTCGTTAGGGTGAGCCCGTTCCTCCCAGGCCTCCCCAGCCAGTGGTACACGAGGGATGTAGCAGCAAGCGGGGGCATCGCATGCAAGAGTGTCCCAGTGCCCCTGCGGCTCTGGAAGCATGTGTCAGGGGAGCCCTTGGCAAGCGGCAGGCCTTCAGGCGCTCGCTGTGGTGGCCACCAGGGCAGTGGAGGCAGGAGCCTACCAGCCGCTCCAAGGAGGGCAGAGTGGCTGCCTACTTCTCCAAGGGTGACGGCCGGGGAAGCCCCCGGGCGGTGCTGCTCTGTCCTGCATGGTCACTGTGAGTCAGCATGACATTCTAATGGCAGAATGTTTTCTGTCAGCCGAAAAAGGAAGCCCCCTGGGCAGGCACTCCCCTGTCCGTCCCCCACCTGACGCCACAGAGCGGGGCTATGTCTCTGGGGCCTCATGTGAAGGCATTCCCTCCAAGGAGGGCCCCTCAGTAAGCACCCTTCCTCTCTGCCTCGCTTGTAAATAAAATCCAGCCGGCCCACAGCCAGGCATGTTTGTCAGACCCGCTGACGCGAGCTGTGGGGCAGAAGCACAGAGATGGCCGCGGGGTACTTTCCTGAAAGTGGTCTTTGAAGTGTTGTGGCCCTCCTTGGGTGTTGATACTTCAGTACCGGGTGGTCCTGGCCTCCCGTCATGTGGGAGGAGCGATGCTGTGAGCCAACGTTTCCCCTCAGCAGAACCGTGGCCTTGCTACCCGGAGGCTACCATGCCTGCCGGGGAGCGCCTGCCAGTGACAGATGGCTCTTGTGAATGTTTTGGCTGTGCTGGTTTGCTGGTCACACGCAGCAGGAGACTGGGGGGTGGTAGGGAGGGTTGGTGACCTTGTCAGGACGGCCTTAGCCTGTCCTGCCCTTTGTGGCAGAGGTAGGTAGTGCTGGCCCGGAGGAAACTTGCCAGCAGGAGTCTTGGGCGGCCCTACCCAATGGCGACGGGCACATCTGCGCTGCCCAGCCTGGGAGTGCTCTGGGAGGAGTGCTGTGGGCAGCGGGCTGCTCTTGCTGACATGCCTCGCCGTCTAAGCCCCTTGTCGCCAAATGTCCCTCGGTGCTGCTGTCTTGAGTGACGGCCTGTCTCTCCTCCACAGAGGACGTTGCTGCCTCGACCGTCTGAGAGCCAGGCCCACAACGTGTGCTCCTTCTCCGTCCTGTCCAATTCCTCCGTCACAGGTACGCACTGGACCTTTGGGGACAACGGCCTTTTCTCTGCTGCTGCTGCTAGGGACGTTTCCCACTTCCCTCAGCTTTCCTGACACCCTGTGTGTGGACACCCCATGGGTGGGCACCTCCTGTGTGCTGGGCCTGGACAGGTGTCAGCCACCTTCCAGTGCTGTCCAACGGCCCTGTTGGCACTTAGTTCAGATTCTCTGTAGGTGAAGGTAGGTGGGCCATGCTCCAGTGTGTGGGTGAACCCACCAACCTCCCAGGAGAGGCATGAAACTGCCTGCTTTCGTGAAGACCACCGTCAGCACTCCGGTGGGGCAGCTGTGGGGTCGCTGGCCATGGGTTCTTGAGAAGGCAGCCAGTGTGTTGGAGCTGTATCTGGTCCAGGGTTCCACTCGGCCCCGTGACCCTTGTGGTCTGGTTGCTCCTAGCAGGGGTTCACGTGGCCTTCGTACTCTTCGCAGCCTTAGGGAGACATGGTGGCATGGCTGTGCCCTCTGACCTTCCCAGTTAGCCAGTGTTGGGAGGCTTCGGCCTGGGCCCCATTTGGGAAGGATGCCGTGCTGCCCTGCCATGGGGGAGGTGCGGAGAGCGGGTCCCAACACCCTGTCCGTGTTTCTGACCTCACAGGGAGAGGCGCGTTCCGGCCCATCCAATCCTCTCTGACCAAAGCAACTCTGTCCAGGCCGATTGTGCCCAAGGCCCTCCCACCCCAGGCCACCAACCACCTGGCCAGTAAGTGTTGGTAACCGGATGTGGTGGCTGCCACCTCCTGGGGTTTGAATGACATCTGTCAGTCAGATTTGAAGTTGGTGCTTTTCCTTCAGACCGTCACCTCCATCCTCCTCCCGGCCCTTTCGCAGAGCGGAAGCCTGAGCGAGGCCTGCGGTGGCTCTCCTGGGGTGTGTTATGGGGTGTGTGCACAGCAGGATTATGAAAGTCTTTTCTTTCTGTCACCAGGTGCTATTGACCTAGTGGCCAAGAGTGCTGGCATCATTCCCGGGAGCCCCCTCCCAGTCCTGGACACCGATGCTCTGTCTGGCATCTCCCCGCTGGCCCCCGACACTGTGACTACAGCTGTTGCCAGCCCAGACTCTGCTGGCGCCCCTCAGAATGGACGTCCTGTCTCCACTATGGGTGTATGTTTGTCCAGTTACCACCAGCCCCTAGAGTGGCCAGTGGCTCTCCCAGGATGGGAAGCCCAGGGCTGGAGCCAGTATGTTGGGCTGAGCACAGCAAGGGAGGGGTCTTGGGTGGGTAGGCCTGTCCTGTGACCCTGGAGTAGCCAGGACTCAGGGAACCTGCCAGGCAAATCCCTGGTCCTGGGGAGCTGCTTCAGGCCTGTTGGGTGACGACCCACCTGGCTGCCATCCTGGTCATGCAGATACACCGACCGAGGAGGGGGCACCCCTGCTGCTGCTGCTGCTGCTGCTGCAGCCCAGTCTTGGGAGGACGGGTGGGACGCTGCGTCGACTCACAGCGTTCAGCACGTTGGACGGGGCCTTGGCAGCTCTTTGCATCGTGCAGCAGGCTGTTCACGGGACCCACACTGTTGGGAGGCTGGGGTTGTCTGTGGGCTTCTTTGGAGCTTGTGGGGACAGGCTGCTCACCGCTGTGCTTGCTTCCTAGGGGACGAGTAGTCCCTTCATCAGCGTCCCCTCAAGGTTGGAGCCCGAGCCTGAGCCCGAGCCAGTGGCCGCCGCCTTCCAGGTAGCATGCCGAGGCCCCTGTCCAGCCCCAGGGCCCCTGCCCTCCCAGCCCCACTCTCCGATGATCATCTTCTTAACCGCTGGTCTCTCTCCTACACACACTCCCCAGACTCCCGTACCCCCGCAGCGACTTAGTGTCTAGGCTGGGGAACCAGGGCCCATCCACCTGTGCACTGCTGGCCTTCCGGGCCACCGGCAGGGTGGGCTTCGGGCTGGCTGCACACTCCCTTCAGGGTCACCAGGTTGCGGGGCCTGACTGATGCACTATCTTCCTACAGGGCTCCTCAGTCCTCTCCTTGCCTGAGCTGCCCAAAATGCCGCTCCACAATGGCCTCTCGGCACCACCTCCCTCCTCAGAAGGTTCAAGCCCACGACTCTCTCCACCCAATGTGTCTGCGCTGTTGGACCTCTCCCTGCCAGGGCCACCGGAGGACATGCTCTCGCAGGGCGAGCCCGCCACACAGTTCAGCGACTCCATCATCGAGATCGCCATTAGCTCCGGCCAGTATGGTGAGGGCCCTGAGTAGCCAGCCCTGTACCCCCCAGGCCATGGCAGACTCAGGCTGCTTGTCCTGTGTGGAGGAGCCAGTGGGTCTTGGCCTCTTTCCTGTCCTGGCAGGGCGGTGTCTGTGTGCCTCCTCAGGTGATTTCTGGCTGTTTGATCTGCAGGTGAAGGCGTCTCCCTTTCTCCAGCAAAACTGAATGGTGGTGACAGCTCCAAGAGTCTCCCTTCTCCGTCCAGCAGTCCCCAGCCCAGCTGGATTGCCTCCCCCCCTCACGACCCCCAGTGGTGCCCCAGTGACTCCACCGACTCTTCCCTCAGCAGCCTCTTCGGTGAGCATCCGGCTCTGACGTCCTCCTCCTGCTGGGCTAATTGGTGTTTTTTTAAAATTTTTTAATCATTTTATTAGGGACTCATACAACTCTTATCACAATCCATACACACATCAATTGTGTAAAGCGCATTTGTTGTACATTCATTGCCCTCATCATTCTCAAAACAGTCCCTCTCCACTTAAGCCCCCAGCATGAGTTCCTCATTTTCCCCCTCCCCACTCCCTCATGAGCCCTTGATAATTTATAAATTGTTATTTTGTCATATCTTGCCCTCTGACGTCTCCCTTCACCCACTTTTCGGATGTCCATCCCCCAGGGAAGAGGTCTCATATAGGTCCTTGTAATCGGTTCCCGCTAATTGGTGTTTTTAATCAGCAGAGTTTACCATGGGAAACACAGATTCCAGTGTTAGCTTTGTTAGACTGTTAGCTGGCACGTGCTGGGGATGGTAGCTGTGTAATTCTGTGAGGGGGGTCCTGAGATTCGGTGATGAATTTCATCATCTTCTCTGTGGAGTTGAGCATGCCCCAAATCGCCCACAAGTCAGGGTAGAGAATGCATCCCCGCCCTGCCCCTCTGCTACCCTGAGCCAGAGGGAGAGGAGCTGGCCTCCTGTGCCCTCTCATAGCCACCCTCTTTCTGTTCTCGGTGGAGTTGCTGAGGGCCTGTCCTGGCGCAGTCTCTGCAGTGGGTCAGTCAGTGTTCAGGCCGTGGCCTTGCTCTCCCAGGCCTGTCCCCTGAGCATCATGGTCTGTGTGCTGGAGGGAGGTTGCCCACATCAGGAGGATCTGTCCACCTCCCTTTTAAAGGCTCAGCAGGGGAAAGTCAGGAATTCCCAGAATTCTTAGGAGGCCACGCCCACACACAGGCCTCATTGGTTATTTTGTGATTGACAGGCCAGACCACACTCCTTCACTTGTAATCCTCTCTTGTTGACACCAGATTACATAACTACCACAGTTGGTTACAAATTCGGAAAGATGGCAGCAGCCGCCTTACTGACTGCCTGTTCGTGAGAGGCTGTTCCCACCTTGCAAGGGGTATGGGGTGCTCCGGAGAGCCGGCTGACTGCCATGTGCTGCAAAGGCCACCCGGGGAGCTCCGAGAGAGCGCTGTATGCCCATGAGGGAGGCGGAGCCCGCCTCATGGTTTCTGGTCTTGCCACAGCAAGCTTCATCTCTCCTGAGAAGAGCCGTAAGATGCTGCCGACTCCTGCCGGGACCAACAGCGGCACATCTCTGCTGGGCCCCAGCTTGCTGGATGGGAACTCTCGGGACTCCTTTGTGTCCAGGTCCCTGGCCGATGTGGCAGAGGTAAGCGCTGCCGGGCATCTATTGCACACCTGGGCTGGACCTCCCAGGTTCTGTCCTCAGGCTGCTGGAGGTGCTCACCAGCAGGTAAGGTGGCAAGATGGTGCCCCCTCTGCTGCATGCCTGCCTTCTCTGGAGAGCAACAAGACCTGGCCACTCTGGGCCACATGCACAGACTTTAGAGGCAACTGGGGGCCCCTGAACCAGCCGGGCCACCTTTCTTGCTCTATTTGCTGACCTGTAAAGTGATGCCCGTGGCAGATCAGTGAGTGCGGCTGTCGATTCTGCTCCTCCTGGCTCCCTGACCATGAGGATAGACCAGCTTGGGCCCCTTCTGCTTCTCCACAGTCCCTTAGCAAGTGTCTACCCAGGGCCTCCTAGGGTAAGGTGACCAGACGTCCCGCTTTTGGCGGGACAGACCTGATTTTTGGCGTTTTTAAAAAGTCCTGATTTTTGGAAAGAATGCACGACAAGCTAGGGAACAGTCTATTTGGTCCATATAGACCAAATTTTTAATCAAGAACACCCCCCCTCCTCCCCGGTCAATGGTGTCCTGCTTTAAATCTGGTCACCTTATCCTAGGGGCACACTGCTGCAGACATTGCCCCCACAACTTCATTATGGTGGCTTGCACGCATTTGCCTGAGGCTTGTTACTTTGCATACGCTAGCTCCTGCGTCCTTTCTGCTCACTGCCTTACCCTCTGTCTGGTCTAGTCTGTCTCTTGAGCACCCTGACAGAGCCTGCTCCCCACCTTTGCGCTCACAGTCACTCCT